TTAATGAAAATCCCCATTTTTGATTGCATATTCTTGTAGCTTATTTTTTCAGAGAACTTTTCAAAACACTATAACAAAGTTCCTTTTCATTAAGTATTTTCCAAGTTATTAGGCTTGAAAGGTGCAGTACCGCCAGCATTAGTATTACTCGAAAGTGATTTTTACGTGACCTTAACAATGCTATTTAAAATCACACTAACATTGCTATTTAATCATCATCCAAGTCCTTAACATCTTGACAGATGTGTGGTGACTATGCTTGTTGTTCTTCCATGTCTTTAACGACGTTCCTGATGGTGCTGCGCCACTTGTCTCGGTTGGCGGTAGCTCTCACTGCCTCCTCCATGCTGGTATTAAGGAGTTGTTTGACTGCATCAGTCCATCGAGTTAGTGAGCGACCTCGTCTTCGTTTCCCTTTCCGCTTTCCCTGGACTATCAAGTGTTCGATAATGTTGCTACGGTTTATGTGTCCGAAGAACTTGAGGATTCTGCTGTACACATAGCTAGACAGTCTCTGGAGTGGATTTATTTCTGCCAGTATGGACGCGTTTATTCTTCTCGCTGTCCAGGGGATTTGCAGCATTCTACGCCAACACCACATCTCAAATGCATCCATACGACATCGATCGGCTGTTCGCAGTGTCCATGTTTCAGAGGCGTAATGGAACACCGAGAACACCAAGGTTTTGATTTGGTTAATCTTGGTGTAGCGCGTGATATTGGGATTCTTCCATACCTTGGTTAGTTGGGACATTGCTGTTCTTTCCAGCTGAATGCGCCCGCGGATTTCTGCCTCGCAATCTCCCTGGTTGTTTATTAGTGCACCCAGATATACAAATTTATCGACTACCTTAAAATTACCAATGCGTAGCGTATCTGGGGAGTTGTTGTGTTCTTGGTCAACTATCATAATTTTTGTTTTGGTGTTATTTATGCAAAGTCCGTATTACCGACTGAAATTATTAAGCCTGTCCAGAAGTGCGAGAAGTTCTTCTTCACTTTTGGCAATCAGCAGTGTGTCATCCGCATATCTAAGGTTTGAGATCTTTTCGCCACCTATGGCCACGCCGCCATCCCAGTCCTCCAACACCTGCCTCATTATCCACTCGCTGTAGATGTTGTACAGAAGTGGCGACAGTATATAGCCTTGTCTCACCTCTTTTCTAATTGCACTCTTTCCTGAGGTGATGTTCTCGAGTCTTACGACAGCCATGCTGCTTTCGTAGGGGTTTTTGATTAGATGTATGAGGTGCGGCGGAACGTCTATTTCTTTAAGGATGGGCCACATTAGGTGCCATTTGACGTTATCGAACGCCTTCTCATAATCCACAAAACACACGAATATAGGTATGTAAAACTCTTTAGCCTTTTCAATCAGCTGCCGCAAGTTCAAGATCTGATTCCGCGTGCCGCGACCGCTGACAAATCCAGCCTGCTCCGGGGCTATCTGTCGGTTGGTGAATGGCTGTAATCGGCCATGTATGATGTGCAGTAGAATTTTACTTGCATGCGTGATGAGTGCTATCAGACGATAGTTTTCGCACTTGCTGGTAAGGCCTTTTTATGAAGGGGAAATATTATAGAAGTGGTCCACTCTTTGGGCCATATCGCAGTAGTCCATATTTTTTGACAAATGCAATGGACAGCTCTTGTACTGGCGGACCCCATAGTTTTGAAAATCTCTGCTGTCAACTGGTCTACACCAGCGGCCTTGTTCCTAGCCAGTTTTCTTATGGCGTTTTCAGTTTCCTCCATCAAGATATGTGGTTCCTGTATATACTCTTCTTGATGATTGACCACTATCATTTCTTCTTCCATATACAGTCTCTCGCAGTATCTCCACACTTCCATTACATTATCGATATCCGTGACCCGGGCACCGTTCTTATCACAGACAGCCCATGTGCGGGACTTGAATTTCCGCGTGATCTGTTTGATTTTGTGGAACACGTCTTTAGATTGAAGGCGGTTTGCATGAAGCTGAATGTCTGCACAAGTCTCATTTAGTAGGTCGTTTTTGTCTTTTCTATAGCTTCTTTGGATAGACGCTGATAGTCTGCGGTATTTATTTCTCGTTTCGATGTTATTTAGGCCAGTAGCTAGCAGACTTCTTCTTTCTTCTATCGGCTTGAAAGTGTTTGCGGAGATCCACTCGCTCCTCTTTGCGCGCTCTTTTGGTTTCTGTGTATCAATTACAGAAGTCTCGATAGCGTCCCTGAACCGGTTCCATAGGTCATCCGAGTCGACTGGTTCCTCCATATTGGCCAGTGCTAATTCGCAGTTAAGTCTCTCACAGAAAGTCCTCTGATCAACAATAGGTGGTAAATTATTTTTGGCTGTCGTCCTTTTGCACACTTTCATCTTTGTTCTGAACTTGAACGCCAGTTATTTATGGTCTAAACCACAATCAGCTCCAGGGAGTGTCTTAGTTGAGAGTATGGCCGATCTCTAACGACTATTGATCAAAATATAATCTATTTGATTTTTATTGCGAGGACTGCGTGGCCTGTTCACAGGTGGTGATGTTGGTCACCTGTGTAGCCTTCTCAGACGTGGAGGCGAGTGACTGCATTCCCCTATGTACCCTGCTGAGGGTTGCCGTCTGCGTCTCCTGGTGACGATGCTCGTTAGCCGCTGGTAATGGTGGCAACGGCGATAGGCGTGGAGGGTAATTCCAGCCGTAGGTCGGCGAGGTGTAGCGCCGGACCCTTACGTCCCATGTCGTAAGGAAATCCCTGCCCGGACGGGTGAAGCGCACCGGCGACAGCTCCAGAGGCTGCAGCTTCTGCTCCTGGAAGGACCAGCTGATGTGCCGGCGAGTGGAAGCGCTGGTCGGGGGCTTCACAGGATGTCCGGTCCGCAAACTATGCCCGGGTGAAGAGGGCGGCGGAAGTGGACGTGGACGTTCCTCTAGCCGCTGCTTCTTGCCTCTTCGCGAGGTGCGAGGTGCTATACGGGCGGACCCGAATTTCCGCCCGTCGTCGCTAACTTTCGTCTACTAAGCGAGAGAAGTCCTCTCTCTAGCAGCGAAAGCCGCGACTGGCGATATCAATCGCCTCGCCCTTTTATATACTCCTTCTCGTCGGATCTCACTTCCTGGCGCCGACTCCCGGCTGCCGCCGCGTCGCGGTAAGCTCCCGTAGTTTGTTGAGCTTGCATGTGTTCCGCGCGTGACTCTGGGCGCGCGCGCTTGCCGCCATGTTGTAAGGGGCGCAAATTGGTTCTGCGCGCCCGTGCTTTTGTGGTGGTTATCCGCCACAGTTTGCTCCTAGGCCATTCCAAAGACACTTTCTTCTTCTGCCCTAGTGCAATACTGATGGTTGCTGCTACCCTCCATCACTTTTCGCCATATCTGGCTACCCTTACTTAGTTTAGTCTGCATGCCAATGCAGATATCCGGGGTGTGGTGCTTGGAGCCATAAGTAAGAGTTGGGTTTCGTATGAGGACTAGTTACTTCGAGCCATTCCTCGAATGTACGCTGGATGACTCTCAGCCAAGATACTACCTCTGTACCAAATCCCCATACACGCCACTTAAAACCCTACAACTTTCATTTAAAATATTTTTTTTAAATGCTATATTTTCGAGATTTGAAAAAATGTTTCAAATAAAAGTTGTAGGGTTTTAAGTAGTACAAAATAACTGTTTTAATTTCTATGTGGGGGAGAATAGCGTGTGTGTGGAAGCGCGCTTACTTCCTTCGCCCCACAATACGTAAAGGGAAGATGTTGATGGAAGGGATGTCGTCAAAGATCACTCGCAAGTACTATGTACAAAAATATATTTCTAAGATTACTATACAGGCGAGAGGTATATACAAGTCCTTAATATGTGTTTGGTTTTTGGGGTGGCCCTGAAAAGGGCCGGTTGTGCGCTGGTGTTAGCGCCCTACAAAAGGCGTTCACGCCACTGGAGCGGCGGATCCGTAGAGGTGTACCGGGGCGGATCCCACCTCGTACGGAGCGCCGGAGGAGTCCCGGGAGGGGTGTAACTCCTCTCGGGCAGCGGCGGTGCGTCTGGTAGCGTTGAACTTGTGGTCTCTTCCCAGTCTGAGACGTCGGACTGCGTGGCCTGTTCACAGGTGGTGATGTTGGTCACCTGTGTAGCCTTCTCAGACGTGGAGGCGAGTGACTGCATTCCCCTATGTACCCTGCTGAGGGGTGCCCTCTGTGTCTCCTGGTGGCGATGCTCGTTGGCCGCTGGTGATGGTGGCAACGGCGATAGGCGTGGAGGTTAATTCCAGCCGTAGGTCGGCGAGGTGTAGCGCCGGACCCTTACGTCCCACGTCGTAAGAAAATCCCTGCCCGAACGGGTGAAGCGCGCCGGCGACAGCTCCAGAGGCTGCAGCTTCCACTCCTGGAAGGACCAGCTGATGTGCCGGCGAGTGGAAGCGCTGGTCGGGGGCTTCACAGGATGTCCGGTCCGCAAACTAGGCCCGGGTGAAGAGGGCGGCGAAAGTGGACGTTCCTCTAGCTGCTGCTTCTTGCCTCTTCGCAAGGTGAGAGGTGCTATAGGGGCGGACCCGAATTTCCGCCCGTCGTCGCTAACTTTCGTCTACTAAGCGAGAGAAGTCCTCTCTCTAGCAGCGAAATCCGCGACTGGCGATATCGATCGCCTCGCCCTTTTATATACTCCTTCTCGTCGGATCTCACTTCCTGGCGCCGACTCCCGGCTGCCGCCGCGTCGCGGCAAGTTCCCGTAGTTCGTTGAGCTTGCACGTGTTCCGCGCGTGAGTCTGGGCGCGCGCGCTTGCCGCCATGTTGTAAGGGGCGCAAATTGGTTCTGCGCGCCCGTGCTTTTGTGGTGGTTATCCGCCACAGTTTGCTCCTAGGCCATTCCAAAGACACTTTCTTCTTCTGCCCTAGTGCAATACTGATGGTTGCTGCTACCCTCCATCACTTTTCGCCATATCTGGCTACCCTTACTTAGTTTAGTCTGCATGCCAATGCAGATATCCGGGGTGTGGTGCTTGGAGCCATAAGTAAGAGTTGGGTTTCGTATGAGGACTAGTTACTTCGAGCCATTCCTCGAATGTACGCTGGATGACTCTCAGCCAAGATACTACCTCTGTACCAAATCCCCATACACGCCACTTAAAACCCTACAACTTTCATTTAAAATATTTTTTTTAAATGCTATATTTTCGAGATTTGAAAAAATGTTTCAAATAAAAGTTGTAGGGTTTTAAGTAGTGCATTAAGTAGCAAATGTTAGTGTGACTCTAAATAGTATTGTTAAGGTCACGTAAAATACACTTTTGGGTAATATTAATACTGGCGGTATTGTATCTTTCAAGCCTGATAACTTGAAAAATATTTAATGGAAAGGAACTTTATTATAGTGTTTTGAAAAGCTCTTAAGGTAAGCTATAAGAATATTCAATCAAAAATGGGAGTTCCCGTTAAAAAATGTCAAGGTGATCTTTACGTGACTTTGACAACGCTATTCAAGATCATAATAATATTGCTATATAATGCGTCACATGAAACCCTACAACTTTTATATGAAACACTTTTTTCTAAAATGCATATTTTTCGAAATATTAAGGGATTCCAATACTTCTTGTATACCCGTATAATTCAGAAACTGGACATAGAAAATTTCTGTGACGACATTTTTTATTAGAAATACAAGAAATATATCACAAATTCAAGCAAATTGACCGAAAACGTTTTTTTCATGTGAATCGTGCGTGGTCCTTTTAGTATATAAAATTAAGATAGCAAAATTTAGTGCAAAATTTATATTATATTATTATATTTATTATGTTATTGCTGTTATATGTGCTGTTTATTATATTATTTTGCATTTTTTAACGCATCTTGGTGTATGTATGTATGTATCCTTTATTCGTCCCCAATGGGGTTTGAAGGCGTTTTTTAGGAACGTACCCAAACCTTTACACTCCTCTCGATCCTTTACTCCACATATCTCCCTTCATTCACCTTGATGCACCTCCTCCTGCTCCTCACTTTTGTCCCTTCCGATCTCTCTCACTTCTCCCTATCCCGTCTCTTCCTCCTCTTCCCCACAAGCACATTTTTTCCCTGTCCACACTTTCCCACCGGACACGGAATTCCTAACGCATCTGGGTGTTCTACTCTAATTTATAAAATAACTATATAATTAATTATAGTATTGTTATTTTTAAGATTTGTTATTTTTATTGCGTATAGGCAACATTAGTACTATGGAATGGGTATTTCTGATCCCATCTGGTGATTTAAATAAAAAGATCACCGGCTCGCAGTACGTGATCCTCATCATGTTTCAAGCTCTTGAAGTATTCACATTATGTTTAATGCAATGTGTTTTGGATAGTTTTTACGTTAACGTTACGCTACATCTCACTGGTCAGTTAAAAATTCTTAAAGCGAAATTCAGAACATTTGCAAGCAAGCCGGATACCATGGTAAATAATCGGAAGCATTTGTCCCGATTGATTGAAAGGCACTGCAAATTAGCGGAACTCAACCAAAACATAGAAGATACTTTCCATCTGATTATACTATTCCAACTAGTCATAATAACGCTTCTGCTCGCATTGCTGGGTACTGTATGGCAAATTTTGTATCAAGTTTATATAGGGGACTTTAACTAAAATAAGGAAACAAACTTCGAGAGCGAGCTCGCCATACCTAAACATGAAAAAAAGTTCATATTAACATATATTCGCAAATCCACTGTGCTACTGAGATACAGCTTAAATAAATGTTTATTAATGGAAAATAAAAAGGTAATATTTATTATTATTTAATATTATTTATTTTCAATTTTTAATTATAACAAATGTTCAAAATGTGTCCCATTTGATTCAATACACGCATGGACACGTCGGATCATGGACTGTTGCACTCTTTCAAAGATCCCGGGGCGGTTGCAAATGGTTTCACAAGCAACAAAGATGCGTTGACGTAGCATATCTCCGTTGTCGATTTGAACTTCATAAACTAAGGACTTTAAGTGTCCTCATAGATAAAAATCTAGAGGATTGAGGTCGGGAGACCGTGGAGGCCATTCAACTAGTCCCAATAGCTCTACCTATCCATCTATCGGGGTGTATGTCAGTAATAGCGGATTTGCGGATATATGTTAGAACTTTTTTCCATGTGGGGAATTCGCCCCCGAAGTTTGTCCCCTTATTTTAGTTACATCCTGTATATATTACGACTAATTAATTTTTAGAAATTCATATCTTTAAGCAATTGAATTTAATGATTACGTTGCGCAATAATTTTCACATTTCTATATCTTTATATCTTAAAATATAATTTTTTTATGATATTTAAAAATTGATATAAATACAAAAAAAAATATTTTAGTTTAAAATAATATATTTTTATATTTCAGGATTACGTATAATATTCTGTTTACAAAATAACGATTACATTGAACTAGCGAAAAGTGTTCTAGTCTTGAACTTCATGTTTATGGAATCGCTAGTATACTGCTACGGCGGTGACTTTATACAGAGAGAAAGCGACGATATATTCCGTGCAATGTTCATGACTTCTTGGTTCACGCTTCCTGCCGCGTTGATGAAGGATCTGCACTTTGCGATGATGAGATCAAGCTACCCATTTCGTCTCACCGGCGGAAAATTTTTCTACGTTAATCGCGAAACGATAATATACGTTCTCAAAACGGCAGCTTCGTATATCTCGGTTTTGCGAGTGGCACTCAGAGATTAATGTAGACTATATATAAAAATTATTAATACTATCTAAAATTTGAGCAAATATATTAAATTATTTTTAAGCATACGTTTTTAATTTTTTACAATTATTGAGATAATTTTTCAATTATTAATTGCTTAAAGAAATTATAAATTTCAATCGCTACTTCAAAATAAATACCGAAAATCCTGTACAGCAGCATTGTCCGTATTCTCGTCGAGCGTTGAAATCTTTCGTTCTTTCCACAACCAGCTTCTTCTATTTTATCACTTGTATTGCGAACAAATATAACTTCACTATTTTTTTCTTTTTTGTTGGCTGTTCGTTTTGCTTAATAAAATGATAGATTAGAAAAGAGAAGAGAACATTTTGCTAGTGAAAAAAAAGATCTGCTATACTTGATGTCATCGTAGAATTCGTAAATTGATCGTGAGCATATTTGCGCTGACACACAATAACATTACATATGTAGAAAATTGTGCGCATTATCGTATGTTTCAAAAAGATGCGCGATAGATAAACTTGTCACGTCACTTATCTTACTACCCTAACAATCATCAGTGTGCGGAAGGGATATGCGCGTATAGACAATAGCAATTTTTCTCGAGGGGCAAAAGTAAGCCATCCACTCGGCCGAATAATATTCAGCACGACTACAATCTTCCTTTTTCGAGGTTGAAATTAGTAATCGCCGAACATGAAGACAAATTGGAACAGTGGTATAGATTACGGCTTTTCTGCCGTAAGATCAATGATGTGGATACTTGGTTTATGGCCTTTGCAGAATGATGCAATTTGCACTGTTCAGTGGCTTGTAATATTTACGGCAGTGGTAAGATAATGTAACATAACGTAAAATAATGTAACTTACAACATACAAGTTACTGCCGCCTTAAATGGTAAGAAGAAAAAATCATTTACACGCAAATTTCCTATTAGAAATCAATAGAGCAATAAAATTGTAACAATCTGTTTAAATCTTTTTCAAAATTAGCTTAAGGATTAAATCATTTATATAAGCAATATTATATAATATTATATATAAAAATATTTAAATATTATATACATATAAATATAAAGAACCCCGCACTAATTATATGGAAAATCTGTCCCGGTCAAATCAATTGGTTTTTACATATGTTGTAGCTTATGACCTACTGAACAAAAGATGTAATGGGCACAAAGCTCAATAATGGACAGTTATCGAGTTATAACCAGTCAAACATGAAAAAGTCGGGCTGCCAAATAGTCAAATCTCGGAAGGTATTGATCTTTTTGAAAAATGTTTGAAACAATAGTACGGTTTTACAAAATCTGTTAGTTGGTGACATTATTTGTGAATTTTGAATGACCTTGAAAAGCTCCGTGAACAAAAATCTTCCACAAAAATGCCTATTTTTTATTATATTCGTGTAGCTAAATTCGAGACGTTTTCAAAATATTTTTGATGAACCTTTTTTCTACTAAAACTTCTTGAGAAATAATATACACGATTTACCATCTCTGGTTATGAGATTTGACTATTGGTACATTTCAGGTTCGTCTAGCAAGATCTTATATTCAAGATAAGATGCAGCGTGATGCACAAGAAGAATTTCAATTGGATTCGTTGTTTGATGAACAAGGTTTCATAAGGGTGCGAGTGTTTTCACGATTCCGTAATGCTACAAAACATCAAATATTTATAGCTTACAACATAACAGATGCAGATAATATAGATGATGAGAGGGAGACGATTTTTGGTTATTACTGCACCTGTAAGTCAGGCGCACATGTGCACATGTAACCAGCGTATTGTGGTATTTAGGATATGCACGACACCAGCCCAATGTTCGTTATCCCTCTTCATCATTATTGAACACAATATTAGATGCCGCTCAGAGACCACCACAGCAGGATCCAAATAATGAGTAATATACAATAAGATCATTTATTTTATTACCCCACACATACACACACACACACATACACACACAGCAGAGAGGGTTTGGAGTCAAAAAATACTACGGGAGTGACGAACCGTGGGGTCCTTATCTCTGCTGTGACACATAAAGATTTTTGTTCACGGAGCTTTTCAAGGTCATTCAAAATTCACAAATAATGTCACCAACTAACAGATTTTGTAAAACCCTACTATGTTTGTTTCAAACATTTTTCAAAAAAATCAATACCTTCCGAGATTTGACTATTCGCCAGTCCGAATTTTTCATGTTTGACTGGTTATAACTCGATAACTGTCCATTATTGAGCTTTGTGCCCATTACATCTTTTGTTCAGTAGGTCATAAGCTACAACATATGTAAAAACCAATTGATTTGACCGGGACAGATTTTCCATATGATTAGTGCGGGGTTCTTTCTTATATCTGTAATCAAAATAAAATTTTATATATCTTACATACACACTTATACATATTTTTATACAAATTTTATAATAGATAAAAAATTATGGTAATTATGCAAAGAAAGGGAGCCACTACCGATTTCGATAATTTTGAAATATGTTATCAAGGTCATCACCCTGAGTAATGTTGTGAAGGTTTTAGCTGGCGCTCGTTGTTTATTAAAAAGTTATTAGCAAAAAAAGTAGTTACAGCCTGTTTTATTTTCCAATATTTCCAACTTTTCCGCATACAAAAGTCTAATTCTGACTGCATTACCATCGGAAAATCCGTATATGAGATGTATGTCCGCCATTTAATTGTTTGACTAAGCCATAATTTTTTTAAATGTAGACTATTGCGTTAATAACGCTAACGTACGATACGAATACTTTACTTTCACTGAGCACAAGATACGAACCGTACTATTTACAATACAAATAACACGTGTTTATGTTTATAGATTAGCAAGACCTCAAATCCTTATCTTGCAGACAAACAGCAAACCGATAATCAAGTATGCTATCTTAACTCTGTTAGAAAATAAAACAGGCCGTAATTCGGAAACAAGGTCATATTGGACATATGTTTATATGAACTTTTTTTCTTATTTTTGTATCCTAAATCCACCAGTGCAATATTTCCTACTTATCAGGAAACACTCTGTATATACAGGGTGTCTTAGACCACCCGTACACCTCTTTTCTTTCAAAAACTAAGCATTTTAGAGAAAAATGTTTCAGACAAAAGTTGTATGGTTTTGAGGGGGACATAAGAAGGTGTCATTAATTTGACCTTGAATAGTTTCTTGAAGATCACGTCAAGGTCACCTTCAATTTTTTAAATGGAACTGCCTACTTTTTATTGCATATTCTTGTAGCTAATCTCGAGAGCTTTTCAAAACACTATAATAAAGTATTTTTTCATTAAGTACTTTTTGAGTTATTTTATATTTTAATCTGACATATTTTGATATAAAAAATAAAATATTTCGTAAAATATTCAGTTTTCGATTA